TAAAACCTTTAGTACTGTATAAAATTGTTTGTTACTGTGGCGGTATTCATTTAGTAATACACAATCCTTCACTTTTGAAAAATCCTGGACTTTTGTGTCATGTGTCAAGTATGAATGAGTCTGTAGAGTTGCGAGTCTGTGTATCCCCATCTGTCAATGAGTGTGCATGAATGGATGCGAGTGTGTGTTTTCTGAGGAAGGTGTTAAAAATAGGGTAACATTAATCACTGACTGAAGCAGACACAGATCAGTTTAGATGGGCCGTGGCCGGGCATCTCTGGCAGACCTCAGTGTCTGAGAGTGAGACTGACAGGCTTTAAATCAGGGCCCGTCTGTGGTTGTCACAGCACATGGATTCGAGACAGATTTACCACCGGAGCAGACCAGGAGGCTGGAGGGAGGTCAGTAAGCACAGACAAAAACGCTGAGTGGGACAGAGGGAGAAATCCCAAGGGTGAAAATTAAAAAAAATTGCTTTTGAAAGCTCTCATTTTTCCTCTTATTGGAAAGGTTTAGAAAGGTTGGGAGCAGACTCTTAAACAAACAAGAATCAATGAGCATGCAAAATCCCCTCTAACCTGTAAATGGATGTGTGATGCATTGCTGGCGTTCCACAGGTCGAACATCATGAATTTCCTTTTAAAACATGTTCGTACATTGTAAAAATGATTTTTATGGAGTATGCTTTACAAGAATATATTATTTCAGTCTTTCACATTTCATGTCAAATTCAATGTTGCTTGCCGTTATTTGTAATTATTTGTCAAAATTACTAGCAATGTCTGAGTGAAAGTTGTTTCAAAGTCAATTCTACGCCACCAGTCAAAAATTTTGAATAATTAATAATTGTTAATGTTTTGGAAGAAGTCTCACCAAGTCTCAGTTAGGCCTCATCTGGCATGACTGAATAGAGTAAAAACAGTAATATTGAGAAATATTACAATTTAAAATAATTGTTTTTGATACATCACAATTCAAAAAAGAGAAATTAATACTTTTATTCTATGCATTTCTTTGACAAAAATGACAGTAAAGACATTTATTACAAAAGATTTCTATGTCAAATAAATGCTGAACTTTATAGTTATTGAAGAATCCTGAAAAAAATATATCATGGTTTTCACAAAAATATTATGCAGCAAGAACTGTTTTTAACATTGATAATAGCAAGAACCATTATTAATAATTGAGTACCAATAATAATGGACCAAATCAGCATAATATGATTTCTGAAAGATTACATAGATTAATGTCTGAAAAGAGCAGGAAGTTCTTTTAAACTGCAATATTTCACAATATTACTGTTTTTAACTGTATTTTTGATCAAATAAATGCAGCCTTATTGATCATAAGAGACTTAAAAGATAATTAAGCTTTTGATCAGTAGTATACATTGGCCTGTTAACAGTTATTACTTTGAAGCACTCTTTTTGCATTTTGTTTGACTGAAACAATCTCACTGCTTCTCTGGCTTCCTGCTTACCAACTCCGTAAATTAATGAATTAAAATATCAACTTCAGGAGAAACTGCTGAAGAGCTGCATATAAATAGAGGAAGATGAAGCTGCAAGTCAATTTTGATACCTTCAGACAGCACCTATCTATTTTTAATAATGCAATTAGATCGAGCTGGTATGCTCATTTCACTAAATTGGTCTCTGAGAACCAGAACACCCCAAGGGTGCTATTCTGGACCACTGACAGGCTTCTAAACGCCTCTCTTAGAAGTCATCCTGACATAATCCCAGGCTTTAAATGTGATAAGTTGGCAGTGTTCCCTAGAAAAGTATCATCAGTTAGGGTGGATATAAACAGAACATTTGAAAATGGTGCATTTTAGACCGTTATTGTATCATTTACCACTGCAGGAAGCTAATTTAGTAGTTTTTAATGTAGTTAAACCAGATGCAATGAGGAAAGTGTATCAGATCTTACTTTAAAATGATTTAATATAGCTAATTACTTTCATTATTTTAGAAATGTTGCATGATGAATTTTGCCTCCACAGTCCAGGACTTACATTTTTTTTTTGTTGCTGAGTTTTTGCAAAATATTTTTTTTATTGTCACTTTTAAATAATTTAGTTATATTAAATTCATGAATAAAATGAGTAAAATACAAGTAAAAATAAAATAATAATCTTACTGACCCCTAACTTGCGGTAGTATACATGTAATAATTTGAAATGATAAATGTTGATTAGACAAACTTTTCTCGTTATTTATTGATTTATTTGAAATCCCTTTTGGTGCTGTTATTGCACTGCATGAAAGGTGTATGGATTTATTGACGGAGCTGCATCAGATGAAAACTAATGAGAAAGACAGCAGTGAGTGCTTTCCAAGTAATTTTGTCAATTTTACCTGATGAACAAACACATATGGAGCAAAATTGCACGGCTGGAATACTGAGAATGGTGATTTCCATATAATTGAATCCAGATTATATTTAATTAGGCCTCATCTGGCATGACTGAAAGCACATCTCTGGAACACACACATATGCCATGTAAGGCTTCAAAGAAGGTAACTTGCTATTTAGATGTTATAATATGACTTAAATGGAAATGTAAACTGATATTTCCTACTGACATACTACAGCAAACGATAGAATTAAAATTGTACAAATCATAGTCCATTACTGATTGGAAAATTGTAAAAAATTGTAGTCATTAATGTAATCTGTTGGATTGCACACACTAGGTAATGTATTCTACTAACAAGTCCTATTTGCCATCTAAAACGATTATATAACATTTATATGCATATTTTATGCAAGTGTCTTTTACGACCTCAAATAACTGATATACATTTAAAATCATTTGTCTCACTAAAGGACTGTTTACAATAAACTAGTCCAAAAAGTAAATTATCCAAATAATGCAATGTTGCAGAAAACACTATACAGAGCACCAGAGTATTTTCAAATAATGGCAAATCTCTCTCTTAGCAATATGTGGAAAGCGTTTGAGAAATATACAGTACACAAAAGCAATGACTGACAGACGGATGGGTGATAAGCTGTAGTCTATTATCTGACTTCCCATAGTGCTGCACTCCATGCTATTTAAAAATGAATCCAGACTTGCATTTAGTTTTTATACATGGGTTATCATGTTTTTTTTTTTTATGCCGTTGGCCTATTGGATGTTTATGATAAAATGTCAGTCATGCAAGTTGCCAAATTATCTCGCATGACTGACATTTGCAACAGCCTAAAACGAATCAAAGTATCCACCAGTCACTTCCAACTAAATAACCTGAAGCTTCATGACATATAGTGCAGCTTACTACTACTTATTTAATTAGACGGTGGAATCAAAACATTCCATAAGGTTCTCTCCAAATCAAAGGTCAATGCATAATTATCTCGGCAGAACATGCTTTCTTATGTCCCTATGACATAAACATCCAGCTGTTGGTTCAGTCGTTATCTTAACACGCTTCGTTAGCTCAAGGTGTTTAATTAGAACATCGTGTTCTCCAGCGCATCTTTCTAGCAGACACAGGATACGGAGGTCCTATAGCAAACACCTCATAAACATATGAAAGGTGTTTAGCAGTACTATAACTGCTGCATTACACAGGCTCCATGGGCTTGTTTATTGGTCTAAACAGTTCTGATTTCTGTGCTTCAGTATATGGGGAAAATTTTAAACAGATGTCCTCATGCATTAGTGAACCCATTATGAAAAATTAACACACAGCAATGAGACAAAGCCAGTGGGGTTATGTTCATTTAATTATTACTTTGATATTCCTCTGTTGTTATTTTCCCTCTCAGCTGTGTTTATGTTTGTCTCCGGTTTGTCGTACAATTTTGTTTACACAAATCATATTTACAGAATACATGAACCTTTTAAAAAATAATTGAGCGTGTTCGCAAATTCAATTTTAGGCCGTACCTTAAATTTCAAATAATGTTAATAAAATTGTCCAATGTTTATAACATCAATGTGATTAACAGTTCTAATATTTTCTCTTCTTCTTGTCTCTTTCTTATGTTTAATTATTCATTTACAATTTATTTCATATATAATTAATCAATACCTTTTGTTATTGTAGCAGCAGTGGACCTATTTACATGCATTGTACGGATCTATTTTCTATAATATTAATCTTTCTAGTTTATTGCAAGCAGCGATGTATTAAAAAAGTGTTGAGTAACTAATGCTGACACAATTAGGTTCAGGACACTGGGTCGCTCTGTGGTGACATGAAATTAATGTCCTCCATTTGCAGCATGGCCACATTTTCCCTCCCACTACATTCCCGTGACTCCAATCCTAATGTATTCTTTTAATGGAATAATAACACACATTCATTATCACAAGCATTTATGATTGGTTAAATCTTTATCAGTGGATTTATAGGCTCATCAGATGAAAATGCAGCGCAGAGAGCAGTGTTATTTTAGTGTTATTTATATACTGTAGTATTTATTAATGTTTTGAATGAACTTTTATTGACATATTTGAAGAGTTAATTTGAAAAACAGATTACAAAAATCATGTTTTTTCATTGTGCATTCCAATTAATCTCAATCAAACTGCAGTTGGGCTATTTTGATTAGGTTAAAAAAATAACTAAAAATACTAACACAATAAAACATAATAAAAAACAATTTTTGAAAAAAAAAAGAGTTACAGTATCTGTTTTTGCAAATAAACTCTTCATTTTTAGTTTGTTTGGATTCATTTTTATTAGTTTTCCTTTTACTAATTTATGTACATAAATTTTTCAGATAGTAATCATATTTTAACGCAACATTTTTCCTTTTCTTTTAAAGTTTTAATTTTAAGTTTAATTTTTTTAAACTTACTTTATTTTAGCTTTATTTCAATAAACTAAAATCTATCCATCCATCCATCCATCCATCCATCTATCTATCTGGACTCTGCAGCCGACGAGACGTCAAACAGTTTCACAGTGCCATAAATACGACATCTAACCCTTTATTATATAGATATACTTTTTTATTAGAAATATGACACATTCATTTTGTGCTCTGAAAACTGTACAATAACAAAGAAACCCCAGTGAACTTAAAAAAGGGAGTGTGGAAAGGCAGGGAGGGGAGGGAGAGGAGGAGAAGGAGGGGTTGATGGTGGAGAATTCAGGCAAGTACGTATCATCTGGAGTGACAGTCAGTGATACCAAAATACACACCGTTACATGATGTTACAGAACACTGATAAAGTCCAGTAACCCAATGAGATTTGGGGGGTCTCAGAATCGCAATGATATCTATAATAATGTTAACAATATTCCCCAAGCACAGTAAGAAAGATATTTATAGGCTAAAATTCATTTTGTAGAACTCTTCAGTAAATAATTACAATGCTGTACAACAGGACTCTGAGGAGTGAGTCTTGTGCTTTCTCTGTGTGCGACCACAACCTAACCAGAGAATAACACCCCTCTGCAGTTTCATATATAAGACTATTTATAATATATATATATATATTTATATATTCATATTCATCTCCGTTTTCTCTTTCAAACATGATTCTGCACGCATTCTGAGACTCAGCAGTTTGTTTCAGGTCTCTCAGCTCCAGTGATACTGATGAAAACATCAAGCGAATGAAGACGTGTCGGTTCTCATGAACCCACCAGCTGGACCACTGACCCGCTTCCAAGCTGAATCTTACGCTGAAGTCGCTTCGGTGTCGACTGACTTTCAAAGGATCCCGAGGTCGGTGTGGTGCACGGGACAGCACAGTGGTGAAGCCGTGGGCTGTACTGGCTCAGAAGGGCATTTGAGACCGATTAACAGTCAAATGGCTTTGGGCAATCACGTCGCCTCTTGCGCCCCAAGCGTACGCATCTGTTGTGTGTCACACTGATCAACAACGATGATAATAAGACTAATAATATTCAAGAATTTGATTTTGAATGACGTGTAGCTCACCTGATTCCTACCGGGCAGTTTGAAAGCTTTCTGTTGTAGCGCTACTTCTCTCTCTTCCATAAATGTGACATGATCACTAATATGTGTGTTGTGTGTGTATCCAGAGGTGTAAGAAATTGAAGGCCACTCACTAAGGCTCATCTGCTCTCATTCTGAATTCCAGTCCTTCCCTTCAGTCAGTCACTCCCAGCATTCAACTTGCCCAGTTCAGCCGTTCTTGGTAGCGCCAGCTCATTACCACAGCAACAGGCTCAGACCTGGATTTTCGAAAGTGTTATGATTCGCTTTGACATTAAGGAAAAGGCCATTCCAGGATTACAAAAAAACAAAACATCACAAATGAAAATTGCACAGCCATGTTGCTTTCTCTCTCTTTCTTGCATACTTTTGTTTGTCCGCTCTCTCAAATCTCATTCCCTCTCTTTGTCCCTTTTTCCTGCGAGTAGAGTTTGTTCTGTTTCTCTGAATTCTCTGGGGGTCTCTCAGACCTCCGTCTGCAGGTCCATGATCTCTTGGCCCACCAGAGGGATGGTGGCGCTGGCCTTCTCCCATTCCACCGCTTGCATTTCCAGAGGAGAGGCCTGTAGAGGCTCCAGCTCCTTACGCAACCATGACGGTGGTGAGTGGGTCTTCCTGATGCCCTCCCACACCCGCTTACTGGGGGTCTGCTGCTTGTCCTGCATTAACAAGAATAATAATAGTTTAGGGTGAATTTTTTTGTAAAATGTCAAGTAACGTCCTAGTTCGGTGCAAAATCAGGTCACCAGAAGTGCAACCGCACTATACTTGTCGAAGTGCTGCCTATGAGGCTATCGACCTAGACGAAAATGAATATTATTATCAGGACTTATTATTACATTATTATTATTATTATTATTATTGAAAAATATAAGTAATTAATTTAATGTCTTTGGGTCAATATAAAGTTAGTTAGATTTTGATAATACAAAAAGTAAAAAAAAAAAAAACGAAATTAACAAAAAAAATTTACAAAAGAATTAAGCTACAGTATGTATTGTAATTAGTAATATCAAGATAAAAAAAAAAACACGAATCAAATTTAATACATTTTCAAATAGATTAATATAGAAAAACTGAACTGAATTTAATTAAATGCTGCTTGCCCTGCATTAACAAGAATTATTTTTAAATACATTTTCATTTATTATATTATATTATAAACTCTTGTCAGGAAAATTTCACAAAACCTGTACACTCCAATTTCTCAATGCAAAGTATAATTTACACTACTGGTAAAAATTCTAAAATAATTTTCAATGTTTTAATGTTTTATCAGAATGATTTCTGAAGGATCATGTGATACTGAAGACTGGAGTAATGGCTGCTGAAAATACAGCTTTGTCGTCACGTGAATAAATAGCGTTAAAAAAAAAAAAGATTTGCATAGAAAATTTTAATTTGTAATAATATTTCACAATATTGTTGTTTTTACTGTATTTTTTATCAAATAAACGCAGCCTTGATGAGTATTAGTCTTTTTTTCAAACAATCGTAGTTATTCTAAAATTTTGACTGGTAGTGTATATTTTCTTTTGATTTTGGTACGAAATATCTTTTTGTTTTTTCATGAGATCCTCTTAATGACAAATAGAAAAGGAGGGGGAATGATAAGTATAAGTTCGTACACTAAGATTGGTTTTATCGCTGCCTCCTGACGACACGCTCCATCTCTTCCCAGTCTTCCCGTCCACTGGGGGAGAATCTCTGTCCTTCTCTGCATGCTGCAGCTTCCTGTTTAAGTCCTGGAACATGTCCTGGTGGCGCTTCCGTGTATGCATGATCTTCTGCAAGACAAAACCCGCATTTAAATCTTTGCAGAGATGAATGAAACTGCACCACACAAGACTGCTGTCATTTGTGGAAAGATTTACATTACACTGACCTCAAAGTCCAGCTCTGCATAGCGTGATTTTCGTCTCTAAAAGGGCAAATAAGAAAAGGATGTTATTGTGTGTCCTTTCAGAGTTGTCTTGGGGGAAACCAGCATATGGGTCATTCCCAAAATATAGTGACAAACATGTCCTTAGACTTTTCAGTCATAAGAAAGACTTCATATATTTCAAGAAACTCCATATAAAAGACATAATTTCAATACTGTACATAATAGTTTAATCTTGAACAATCTTTTTTTCTGGTATACATTATTTATATATTTACTATTTATACTAATTTTGTTTTTCGAGTTCAAGTGCAAAAAAAGAAAACAAAATGTAAAAATTAACTTTAGAGCAAATAAAAATGAAAAAATAAATAAAATACTAATATAATTTTATAAATATAACAATGTAATACAATTTTTTTTGTTTAAACATTAGTGCAAAATACAAAATATAATTTAATATTAAATTAATATGTTAAATAAATTAACATTTAAAGCAACTAATATAAAAGCAATTAAAGATTTTAAATAATTTCAGTATAAATTTAAGCTATTTTGATTTTGAAAATACAGAAAGTAACTAAATCAAGTTGTGTCTTGTGATTAGTAGTAATGTCAAGATAATAAATGAATAAAATGTAATAAATCCTAATAAATCCTTAATAATTAATATAGGGAAAACAAACTGAATTTAATTTAAACACTTAACATTTTGTAATATTTTGTAAGTCAATACGGTTTGAGAATGACCCAAATGCAATAAGCAGAGAAAAATTGATTGTAAAATTTCGGGCACTTTGGACAGATTTTGTGAAAGCATTGTGCCGCTTTTCTATTGCACGCTTCCGCCGAGCTCCTGGCATGAGCGTGCGGTAAACAGCTTGTGACCGAATGGCCTTTCTTTAGCCTGTCGGAGAGCGTCTGAGGGCAGTCTGACATTCTGCCTGCGCTGTGCGTGGCTGCAGCTGTGCACCCACAGTGCATTCTGGGAGCATGTTTGGCCTGAGGTGAGGAGGAATCCACGCTTGTCATCTGCTCCCTTTTAAAGCATGAGCAAAATCTGACCTTTGCAGAGACTTTCTTTTCTTAGAGGGATAACTGCAAATGCAAAGAGGCATCATTTATGTAGCCTTCTGTCATTCCTTCCTTTTTGAAACTGCATATTTTTGATTCTATTAAGTGTTTCGACGCAGTTTTTATTGAAAGTGAGTGCATGTGCATTGGCTGATGTCAGTTGAAATGTAACTCTGAGTTCATTCCTTCCTTTTTGAAACTGCATATTTTTGATTCTATTAAGTGTTTCGACGCAGTTTTTATTGAAAGCGAGTGCATGTGCATTGGCTGATGTCAGTTGAAATGTAACTCTGAGCCACGTAATGACAGTCCTCTCCACAAACATGCTTTTTTCACTCCGCACACAAATTAGGACACTCGCTCCCTTGTGGCAGGTATGACGAACATTGATGTAAATTCACAGCCTTGTAGGCAGATGGGTCTACAGAGAGTTTCTTTGGACCAGAAACCAAAGTGTCCATCAGTTATTAGAAATAATCATAGCTGAGAAAAAAAGTACAAGATGAGGATGAAAAGACATCGTGATTTAAAAAAAGAGCAAAAGCAGCATCTACAGAGTTGTAAGACGCAAGCACATTTGCGCTGATTGCCATTAAATGTTAATGAATAGTCATTTAGAAAGCTGTTGTGTCACTGGGGTTCTGATTCATTTAGGTAGTGAATCTTTCAATACAAACTGTGATGAGCGTTTTCATTATTTAGACAAAATGAAGTCAAACAAGCTTGTCTACAATGAGGAAAAAGGTGCAGGACGTATAGCTCTTTGCAACCCTCTACAAACAGCTTAGCAAAAGAATCGCCAGTTTTTTAGTTCACTCGCCAGACTGTCTCATTTAATGTTTCTGTAAATAAAGCTAACAATAATATTAATAACGTAATACTACTGAAAAATTACTTTAAAAACAAATTTCAGCAAATTTTAGAAATATTTACAAAGAAACACTGAATTAAACATTACATTTTGAAGTAGAAAGACTCAAATGGCATTTTCTTGTAAAACATACTCCATTATTCTGTTTTATCTACAACTTTGAAAAATCATTTGTTACAGTGTACTAATTATACTACTAATCATATAAAATGAACTAAGGTCTGATGATGAGTTGCTGGGCTTATGAATATTAATCACATTGTCTGCATTCGCTCAAACCGATTTGCTGAAATCAAAACGGAGATGGCAATCCGTGAGCACTAGCCAATGACATTGCCGGTTGTGCATTAGCTCCACCCACTACTGAAGGAACTGGGAGTGGCTTCTGCTTAAATAATTCCATACAAACTCATATTGACAAGAAAAACAAGAGGATCATTTACATGGAGCTCATTGTTTCTTAATGGTATATATACGACTCTCTCGCTTTCTCTCTTTGAGTGCATGTGATATTATATATGATTATATGATATCAGTAAGAACAGTGCACTATAAAGACGGCAAGAGGAAAACCCCTCAAATGCTCAGAATGTTTGTGTACGTGAGTGAAAACATAACACCAAAGACGATAACTATAACGTGAACGGAAAAGATATAGTTTTTAAAATCACTCTAAATGTAAAAGAATAGAGTTTACACCACTATATTCAAACTATAATGATAATGACACAAAGGAACAATATTGTTGGAATCCCTTTCACAGTGATTTTAGTGATAAAAACATTGACAGCCAATGAGAATCAATCAAAGCAGCAAATGACAAAATAATAAACAGAACGTTATTGTGCGTTGGTGTGGACACTGATATAGTTATTGTTCTTGGTTCTCTAACTCAAATCACTGGCGAGTGAAATAAAAAAAAAATTGTTACTTTAAATATTGTTAGCCAGTGGCTGATGATATGCATAATTTAGTCGTCTAGCGTTAAATTTTTTCACGTATGCGAGTGATTTGCTCGCAATGTAGAGGGTTGCATTGTTTGATCTCATGATTATCATTGTTTCTTACCTCCAAAGAGCTCATAGACAGTGTTGAGACGGTCTCACTCTTAGACATCATTCCGGAGTTCCCAGAGTCCCCTTGCTCACACGTATTTGCCATCTGGGACTCACTGGAGATGTTCTGCATTGTCTGCACCGGGGAGTCCCTCTCTGAGCAGGAAATGCTGACTCGGTCAGTGGGCAGGCTCTTCAACCCAAAGCCTGGCACGGGATCGGTGCCAGCGGGTTTGGCCAGGTGGATGAGCCTGGTCTGGGGTAACTGTTCGATGCTGATGTTGTACTTAGTGGCTTGGTCATCCTTGCCACCCTTTGTGGGCCTAAGGGTGTTGTTGTTGTTGGGCAAGAGAACGTAACCCTGGCCTGACCCACCTCCTCCTCCTTCGGGACCGCCGCTGTCTCCCTGGGCTCCATCCAGTTGCTTGAAGAGCTCGCCGTCACAGATGTAAATAGATTTGGCTCCGGGTAGCTCGGTACTGACCCCGGCAATGCCGCCTTTGTCGCGGCGCATGGTGAGAGTGTGGCTGGCGTAGTCAGCGACGTTTTGCAGGTGGACCTTTGCCATGCTGGCAGGAAGAGTGTTGAAATTGGAGCCTTTCTGTACCGTGATCTGCTGTGAAGCTACCTTCTCTTCACCTTGTTGGGAGGAACGCTTTAGGGTGCCTGCAAATCAGAAGGGAATAAGCCTTAGTAAGTGAAAAGAGATCACAGCAGAGAAAACACATGCTGATTTGATAAAGCAGTGCTACATTTGGCTGCTCTTGTATCAGCTCGAATTATGTAATTAATTTAAATAAAACTTTGCTGAATCATACGAATAATACGGTACATGGTCTTACATGGTATAGAACAAAAGCAAAAACAAAGACCAAAAACCAACAAATGCAGCTGATTGCAAAGGGCCTTAAAAATCAGTTTTACTTTTTCCAAATTCTGTATTCTGTAGTAATCTGTGTTTGTGTTTGCATTTTAACCATTCCATTACATTTTAGTCATTAAACAGCATATTTAATCAATTAAAGGCACAATATGTAAGATTTTTTTATTAAAATATCCAAAAACCACTGCCCATGATTCCACACTCAGTCACGGTGTCATCAAACTAGCCTTGTCTATTTGTTTATTTTGAATACGCGCCCTCGAGTGGTGAAAATTACATATTGTGCCTTTAAATTTAATGAAAACACATAAAAATATACTTAATTTACAATAAATGTTTTTAAATTTTGCACAGCATACATTAACTTCATAAATTAAAACTAAATAAAAATCTCTTGATTATGACAATATTAACAATAATAATAATACTAAATAATAATAATAAAAATCAAAACATTGATTTTTGATGATGATGATTATTTTGACTTTCAGAAGTACATTTTACTACACAATAGTAATATATCTCTATCATAATTTCTTTGAGTTAACCAGATTTTTTTTGGCAAACTGCCATGAAGACCTGAGTTTCTGTGATTATTTTACATTTTAACATAACTTTTATATTTTTTTTCCCCAAATGTGTGTTTAAGTATGTGCAGAAAAGCAATTTTATGAGCTAGAAAGTTTAATGGATAGACAGTACAATTCTAATGAAACAGATAACGTATTTTAACTTACAACTGACGAGTCCTAAAGATTGTTTTGATATGTTTCAGAAAAAAAAAGAATCATCAAAGATGGGATTATAAAAATGGGATTATAAAGGATCAATCTCTCTTCTTATTTAGATTTTCCCATGAGTACCAGCAAGTGAATTATACATTATGTGATTTATCAGGTAATAATTGGCTACTTTACAAAAGGACAGTAGAAAACAGGAGCAAGCAAAGTTGCGAAATTGTTTGAACTTTGAGGGTCGCATTATGCTTTGCACAATAATCCAGCCAAGAATTAAACTTTAGCTTCTGCGAGACATGTGAAAAGTCTTTAGAGCAACTAACTGAAGGAAGGCTGATTGAAGGCTTAATTTTTAGTCCTTCACACTTCAAAAAAGCAAAAAATATCACATCACAAGTCTCTATTTCCAGATGCTAGCTTGATATGTCGTCTTGACAAATAATCAGAATCCCATTTCCGATAGTTATCAGAGAAGAAAGCTGCTATCTGATAATGAAATGTCGTGAGCGACTTAATTAGGACAGGCCGGCAGATCTGAGGCACGGCAGGGGAATAGACAAGTCTATTTATCTGCATTTTGCTTCACGCCAGCTATCAGATCGTGTTCTGAATCTCCTTGAAGAAAATGCATTGTGTGGCCTGTAAAACGGCACTTGTCTCGTCTTAACCTCTCAGAGGGATGTCACAACAACTTTAAGTGACCGGAGCGTATGTTGCGAGAGACTCACCTGATCGACAAGCCATGTCCACATCCTTTTCAAAGTCGGTCTGGAGAAAACAATGAGAACGAGAGCTTTAAACCACAACTTTACGCTTAATGTGTAACAGAAATACAGATATTTAGTCGCAATTCACCATCAGCTGAGCATGGCCGTTCTGGAAAGATCCATTAGAGTCACCATTTCCATCCTCTTGACGGTCAACAACACGACACTTTACTGCCTCTTGTACCTAATTGATTGTAAAAAAAAAAAAAAAACACAACTAGCGGCCACAGAATCCCCTTCCAGCTCTCACTCAGGGCAGATCTCTGTTGAGGCTTTGGGAAGAGTGCGGGAATAATAGAAAAGATGCCGTCACGTTAGTTTCGTATCTAAATAGGCCTGACTGAACATGTGGGACAAACATCTAGCGAGAAAAAAAGAAACTCTATATGCAGTGCATGTACGTATAGATTACCATCATTTATTTCCACTGACAGTCTATGTAAAATGCTACATGATAAGATTTTGATGCTGTCATATCAATGACATCAAAATCTTCTTTTGAATTAGTATGCCATATGGAATTTGCTTGATTTAGGCTGTGAGCAGTTTATCAGTCCCACTCTGCATCTGTCTTTGGGCCCTGGAGAGAGACATGGGAACTCGAAAAAGGCTGAAAAACACACACAAACTTTCATGCGTGTTGACAGCCGGAGATCGTGCATTCACAGACTCAAGCTAAACCACAGTCATTTTAGGAGAGACATTAAAGTCATCCACAGTCATAACTGTTAATATCGAACTCTGCATATATATGTGTGTGGCTTGTTTTGTTTTAATAAACTGCAGCACACAAATCATGTTTTCAGTACAGCATACAACCGTATTTGAGATTTTTTAAATATGCTTCTACAGAGGATCTTAAGACTTCAGTGTCACATGATCCTTCAGAAATCATTCTAATATGCTGATTTGGTGCTCAAGAAACATTTCTTATCACAGCTGAAATCGATGTGTTGCTTAATATTTTTTGTAGAAAATGAATTCTATGACAAATAAAAACTTTGAAAGAAAAAATACTGCCTCCAAATTTTTGAACGGTAGTGTATGTAATGCTGTTGTACACAAAATAGCCACATGCAAAAAAACAATTAAAGCCATCAGCTTGGCATGGCTGCCCAAATGGATAGGAAGTTGATTCTGCTACTGGCAGACATGTAGATTAAACCCCACATAAGAAATTCAATTCCAAGCAAAAGGCCAATGTGACCAATAAAACCTCACTAGAGTCAGTGATATTAAAAAGCAATCAGCATTTTTTGAATTACATGCTAGTCCTCGTGGAGGTGGAGGGACTTCAAAGACCGAGCTGATATGATCCTTTACCAAATATTGAAACACACTTTCTCATTTATTGTACCCTCCATTTTTGAAACAGTTTATCTTTTGTTTTGTCTTGCCGCAGGTAATAAACCAATGCATAAATTCTTGATGAGAGCCACGACAATTTGTCAAAATGCACTTTAATACTCTAAAACTGAAGAAAATGCCAGCATTTACAGGTGAACAGAGACTATCCAAAGTGCTACTCCTTTACTAAGCATAATTAACAGCAGCGCTTATTAATTAGGCTAATGAAAAATGCTGCGTTTAAGAACAAGGGCGAGGGAGGGAAGAAAAAGGGAAAAATAATTAAAAAATCCTCCCTCTAAATCTAATTCACCTTTCCCATCTATCAGCACCAAACAACGGCAGCCAGCCTTGAGTTAATCGGTTTCCGCAGAGAATGCAATGCGGCTGGAAAATACTCAAGCAAACATATTGATAAGAGTTTTGGAATTGCAAAAATATTTCCCATTATTACTTAAGCACAAACAGAACTCTTGACTTTCAAAAAAAAAAAAAATTCCAATCCGATCCAAAATGTCCAGACAATGAAATCCACATACAAGCATTCTTTTGCACACA